TGTGTGTGTATTTCATCCATTGCAATATGAGTATCTCAGCCATTCCATATAAACAAATCTCCAACAGAAATCCAATATTTTTACTGTTGCCTTTTTGTTATTTTTACAACATAAAGATTTTTGCAAAAGTTTACAAATTTCCATTCAAGTCACACAAAATGGGATAAAAATATTTCATTTGATTCATATTTCATGTCATCCTTTCACCTACATGTAATTTGGAATGACTAGAAAGAGGAATGAAAGCAGGCCAACTTTTCATGAATGATTTAACACATGATATATTCCAAAGTTATAACCAAATCCTAAAGTAAGAAAATAGTGAAACAAGTCTTATCTCCAGTCTCAGTTTCCTATCATATCCAATTTGACAATTTAATAAATTCTGTAATAGTTTTCACTCCTATTTTTCATAATGATTTCTTCCCTCAATTCAAAGTAAAAGTATGGGCTAATAATGCAGAATTGTAGGTGGAGGAAGGGGCAGAGAAAGTTTTAATGGATTCAGTATTTAAAGCATTAAATTTCAACACATATTTCTATGTGCTTCTTAGCTAAGTAGTCCTCTGGAAAGTAAATATAGAATTGATAAAGAAGGCACCATATATATCCCAAGGGAATGTACTTTTTACTAAATAAATCCACCTTAGTATTATATACCTTGAGAAAAATGCTTGACATCTATATTGTATGATTTATTTATTTACTGTATTTATATTCGACCCAAATCAATTCTGGGCAGTGAACCACACAACTGTATAGTATATACAGTTTAAGACATAATACAATTGTCCAAGTAAATTAGAATTACATATTCAAGAAGCACCAGGACGAACTAAAGGCTAAATACCCACTGGGATAACAGAGATATAAATTGCCTCCTAAATGCAAAAGGGGAGGGAGATATCCTTCTTTTTGGGGTAGGGTGTTCCAAAGAGTAGGGGCCAACACTGAGAAGGCCTGTTGTGTGATCCCCTCACCACAGATCTCACAGAATATGGTTGACCCCCAACTGTCTGAGCAGGTTCTATTCTGGCATGGTTTGTATAACATAATCTGGTGCCGGTGCTGTTAGGGACGTTAATTCAAAGTAGTCACCAGCACTTCAGCTGGACTCAAAAACTAATTAGCAGGATAGTAATTCCAAGGTGGACGCGATTCTACTGTAATGAGATTGTCTTGTCAGGAACTTTACCAGTACATGTTGAATTAGTTGTAGCTTCTAAGTCAGTGTTTCTCAACCTTGGCAACTTGAAGATGTCTGGACTTCAACTCCCAGAATTCCCCAGCCAGTTGAGAAACACTGTTCTAAGTAATCCCCAAAGTAGTGTACATATATAATGATCGGGGCATGAGATGATATTTCTAGACCTCCTGTTCAAGGTGCATAATTGTCATAGTAGCCAAAATTTAGGTAAGACCCTCATTTATTTGATCAGGGTTAAGATAATGCGTTGCAATTTGAGATGATGTTTAATAGATTCTTCATTAGGATTGGATGATGTTAATCCTGGTTTAATTGTTTTTTGAGTAGGACTGATTACTTGAAGAGAGGTCATGGGTTTTTTTAAGATGGAAAGGAAGGATTCAGACTGGGTATAATAGATATATCATAATAATGTATAATAATAGTCTTAACTTCTAACATTTAAATACTTATAGTAACTTATATCATGTAACAAAATTCATAATAACATTTCCCCAATTTTTAGTTTCTAGCTCTATTTTCTAATCTTTAATAAAGCAAATTAAGGTGTATTCTGGATCCATCATCTCTTGCCCTTGTTAGTATTTCAACTCTTACTGACTGTTTGATCAATCTTCCTTGCACCTCCCTTGGGACCTTGTATCCTTCTACATCACTCATGTTTAATCTAAATATCTTCTCTGCCTCTACATCTGCCTCTCTAAACAGCCTGCTCTCTCAGTACCTCTTTCGTCTCTGCTAAGGGATGTTTCTCTTTGTTCTCTTCTACATTTTGGCCTCTTGAAAAATAATCTGCTCTATTTTTACTATTTCTTCTATATCTTTATCTACTTATGTCATTTGTTGATTTTTCTCCTCCCTTCTACTCCTTCTGAATTCCCCTCTATTGTCTGGATTTTTTGTTCATTTTCCATTATCTGTCAGGTTCTGAAGGGTAAATGAAACCAGCCAAACACATTTGAAATGCCGTTTGTATTCTTCCTTTGGCACGAACTGACCAACAAAGCACTAAGGCGATGAATAAATTGTCAGAGCTGCCACCCTGTGCTTCCCACCACCTTTTATAGCTACATGGTAATTAAGATGAGCCGCACCCCGCGCCTGCGCACACCCATCATCTTGTGACCCAGAGCGAAACCACCCGGCAATTAATCATGGATTGTTACCATGAATTTCTTCAGTTTGTGTAGGTGGAACGGCGAGTCTTGTCTTCTCCCCTGAATGGCAGCTCCAGGCCTCTGAGCTGGCTGGAGCTGACATTATCATTTGCAGAAGATTTCCTGGTCTCAGATCTGTATCGTGCATCAGTTCCATCACCCCCCCTATGATTCCTTATTATATTTTCCTTGATATCTTGAAGTATTAATAGTATTTCCATTTGGGGTATATTTGTTCTTCCTTATTGTAACGTTTTACTTTATTTTAGTGGACTAAAAGTTATTCAGTAATCCATCCAAGTTCCAATGTCCCAAGCATTCAAAAACATCAGAAAGTCAATGTTAGAAGAATTTCCTCAGTCCCTGAACTGTTCCTCAAAATCCACAGGGTTTGTAATCCTCAAAGTCTGCTGTTTCGCTCCCTTTGGTTTATTCAAATTCGTAAGTCTTGTTTAATTTTTCTTTTGCCTCGTAAAGTATTTTATCAAACAGTATTTGTAATCCAGAATGGTCCACCAAATTTCCCCACGACTCATTAATTCACAGATTCAAGTGTCCAAAGGCAATTCCTATTGTTTATAATCGACATTACTTTAAAAGATTTCAAAAGGCTCGCCAATTGTTCCTAAGGTGCCTAAAAGAACAAGTAGATAGAATAGGAAAAACAAAAATTTGGCCTTCCAAATGTTGTTTGCCTTTCACTTTGTTTCTCTTCTTATCTCTTCTTACGACTTTCCTTTCTTTTTTTAATCAATTCTAACTTTTTTCTTTTTCAAGGTCTTTTCCAGTCATATAATAATATAGTATCTTCTTTGGCCAGTAGATGGCATCCCACCTCTAATTTCCAATACCAAGAAGAGGCTAACAGCCGATTGTCAAAGTTCGAGGGGGAAAAAACCATTTTTCTTTATACAATTTCTTTCAATAGTCAGATAATATTTCCAGTAGATTAAAGTCACGTTTCACAATGCCACAAATTCCAGTTAAGTTTTTCTATATTTTAAAACTTCATATTCTTCCATTAAAATTTCATCTTTCTTTTGGGTCTATAATTTATCTCTGTGTAATAATTCACCGCTTTCTGCGTTTTGGAGACTTGTAAAAATTCTTTAATTTAAGTGGGACTCTAATGAGGAAATTGAAAATCATCTCACCCAGTTTCAATCCTCTGTTCACACACTGCTTCAGCTCATTTCTTCTTCGGTTGCCCCAGCTTCGTTCCGGCCATAATGGCTGCCTCTTTTCTCCATTGGTCTGGAGGGCACCTTGGATCCAAGTGATTGACAAGGAATCCCTCCTTTCTTCGTCACCCCTCTAGTTTGACTTTGGCCCCTTAGGGCCTCTGATTGGAGAGGAATTGGCAGAAATTCGTGGAGCCCCACTATCTCTGACTGCCAAACCAGAAGTCCCTGTTTTGCATTCTTATTACCACCGTGTAGGCTCAAACATGAGCTCTTGTTAGTTCTCATTTGTGTCCACTTCTGGTTTCCGCTTTTAGATTCTGACTTTCTGTGACTTCAAAGGGTAATTATTTAAACTTGAAAAATTCACCTCAAGATAAGAAATGAATCCAAGAACTAAAAAGGAATGGCTGACTTTAAGGGACTAAGTCCTTAATAGGCAAGAAAACAAATTACAATAAACTTTAATGGTATTTGTATGCCGCCCACTCCCTAGGGACTCTGGGCGGCTCACAACAATAAAAACATTTAAAACATTTAAAATTAC